CATGAGGTATAGGGAGAAAATATGAACTTTTACTGATAGATACATGATTCTTTATCCTTATGACCTCTTTTTAGGTAATACACATGGCCCCAATAACCCCTAACCAGGTCATATGTACAAAATTCAAGAAAGCCTTACAAAGCTTACTCCTCTCCAACTAACGATCCCAATATAACATAACAATTATAACTTAAAGTCTCAGTCATGTGCAAAACTCATATGACTCCTAAACAGGTCATGTATATAAACAATAATCATAACATCATACAACTCAAATAAGTCATTAATCAAACCCATATCCCACATGACCCCTAAACAGGTCATGTATATGAATATCAACCATAACATATGAAATTCTTTACAAACCACGCCAGATTTATAACAGTCATAAGTAAATCACCTTAAAACCACAGATAACACTTGTCTTTTAAGAGGAATAGGATAAGATTACAATTGAGAAAATCAATAAAGAGGTATCTAAACTTCCTAGCATCATAGCCAAATGTATTAAGGTCACAGTCAATGGAGGAAATAATTATCATACTTAGACAGATGAAAAGAATACCAGAATAGATAAGATAGATAAAAAAATTTTATATATACCTCAGGTAAAGTCGTGTCCAGAAAGTAATGATACCCTGGCAAAACAACCGAGCAACACAACCACCCTGCATTCCATCAACCACTATGGCTCCACCATATGCCTAGAGAAAAAAATGAATATTAAAATCAAGAGATTTATGCCCTGTATAAGCATACAGATATGGGATATAATAGAATTTCAAAGGCTTTAGGAGTCTCTAAAGCAACTGTTCAAAAGGTTGTAACTAGAGCTAATGAAAGAGGTAGAAATACCCACTATGCTTCTAAGCCTGGCCACTCAACAACGATTACTAATGCTAAAAGAAGAGTAGTAGAGGCTATTATTAATGCCAAGCCTCATTTAGCATTACACAAAATTACCCAAAAAGTGAGTATTGGTTTTGGCAAGACCCGTATAGATAAAATCATATCAGATACTGGTTTTAAGCTTTTAATACCAAGCAAAAAGACGTTTTGGAGGAACGGGCAGAAGGAGAAGAAACAGAAGTTTGCTAGAAAAATAGGGAATTAGAGGGGGGTATGGAATTGAGTGGTCTTTGTTGATGAAGCTACAATTATCTATGATCCAAATCCTGTTAGAAGGAAGGTCAGGATAAGAGCGAGTGAAGAGTTGGAGGAAATAAACTTAAAGCCTAGCTTTAAGTCAAAAAGGACTAGCATTGTAGTCTATACTGCAATAATGGAAGGTGGCAGGACTGAGTTAATTCTTGTAAGGAAGAGAACTGAGGAGGAAAGAACTAGCAAAAGGGATAGACTTGGCTTTAATTTTCACTAATATGCAACTGAGATCTACTAGCCTTACCTCATCCCTTTTATAGAAGGTCTTGATAGATCTTTTAAAAACATCTGCCTAGCTGCAAATAATGCCTCATGGTATGGTGGTGCAGAATATCAGAAATTGCACACAGACTCTGGTTATCAGAAATTGCCTTGGCCACCCAACTTCCCAGATTTCTATCCAATTGAGAATTCTTAGGCACTTCTCGAAAGCGCCCTCAGAAAGCGATTCTCCAGGTTGGAAAAACCGGCCCCACAGTACTATTAAATTATTTCTGGCAGTAAGGAAAGAGTGAGATTTAATTTCTCAGGAGACATTCAAGTTGGATAGGTAGATAGTTAGGATGCTAGAGAAAATTCAGGCTGTATTGAATGCAGAAGGAGGTCATACAATGTGGTAGTAGGCTTTTTTGAAAGCTTATTATATCTACTTTCAGTTTTCTTTTAATTGAGTTTTTACTTTTATTTTTTCTATGGTTGATTTCATCAATGGTGGTAGTTGTGATTGCCATAGAGGGGTATTATTACTTTCCAGACACGACAGTACAAGATAACTAAATAACACATATATAAGTTAACTAGTGGTGTAACTTTGACCATAACTGACATTTCGGAAACTTAAAAAAAAAAATGGCTTGTAGTTGTACAGTATAATATTTTTTATACTTCAAACTCAAGAAAGTATACAATTTGTTCTTTTCTGGTAATATCATTCTAGTATTTACAGTATACAGTGAACAAGTTAGGGAATAAATTTAGGAGAAAAAAGAAAAAAAAGAAAAAAAGTAATTAATATGATTTTTTTTTAAGATAAAATAATAATATGTTCAGCCTTATGTGGTTCGGAACAGCAATTTTCAATTCTCTTAAGAAATTATTTTATATTTAAAAATATATTTAAAATAATTAGTTTGTTATGTAATTACTTTTTTAATATAGTAATAAATAAGGACTTTTTAAAAGAATTTATATATATATACTTGATTATAGCTTATACATTTCTGACAATATATCTTTTAAAAAGAAAATACACTATTGCAATAGCTGTTATTACCCCATGTCGTTCCACTTAGGAAATTATTACTTGTCTGACAATGGCAGACACTGGATCTATAGATGAATTTCAAATACAAACAGATAGTACATGACATATTCCCACTAAGTATTTATCATACTATTTTTTTATTACCATCATGACAGGGTTCTTGGAGGGGAGGGCCTTGCCACAGCCAATGTTTTCCCTATTCATTAATGAGAAGTTACCTTTCCGAGCAATATCATAAATCTATTGTGCTTGGACAAAATTAACCATGATTCAACAGAGGAAAATCTTCGGCAATGACAACAACACTCACCTACCAATCCACTATTATAAAAACCAAAAAAAAAATTAAAAGATATAAATACATAGTAGAAATTAATATTTGGTATACCATCCATCAGCCTTAATAATTACCTCTATTCTATCTACCATTGATCCAGCTAAAGTATCAAAAACTTTTGGGTCAAGAAGTTCCCAACAATGAGTGATGGTCTCTACTATTGCCTTCTTGACCACATTGACATCACCCTTTATAAGATATAGCTCACGTTAGTGCTTATAAAGCTTACCTTTTACCAGAGATCAAATATTTTCATTGGATTGAGATCTGGTGAATAGGCAGGAAGTTCCATCGGTATAATTCTCTGTCCTCTGAGCTATCTCATAAAAGGCAAGTGAGTCTTAGCATTGTCAAATTATAAAAAATACCTCTTCTTCTCCAGCCTTTTCTCTGATATTCTCTCATATCTCTAGAAAGTCATAATGATTATAAACATCAATAATTGACTTCCCAGTAACTCCACCACTAGCAGAAGAAGGATCAGGAAAAACAGGCAAAAAAAGACCATGAGTTTGACTATAAAAACAACCAGTTATTATCTGGCTAATCCCTCTCCCCCCTCTCCTATCCTTAGGTTCAACACAATCCCTATTTTATTTCTCATATGGGTATCTGAAAACCTATTTTCTCCTCTTTTCTCCTCCCCTTTTTACAGCTACCTCATCCCCCCCTATTGCCTTCCTTCTCCACATCTTCTTTGTCCAATGCCTATGAGCTAGTGCCCATTTCAACCTCTCTTGAGCTAGATCCTCATCCAAATGAACTCTCTCTTGTACCATCCACTTCCTAAGATGCTTTTTTTCAAGTCTTCTCCTTACTGTCCTACTAGAAACATTGCGAGCAACTTGCTCAGCATTGTGTAATGATCCCCTTTTAGATAGTTAGTTCTTGGCGACGGGGAATGATACTTATTTTTTCTGCCTTCTTCTTTCTTTGTCTTACAATAGCTCTAGGCCTCTGCCTATGTTACCAATAGTACAAGACCTCTGTCTTCTATCGGGAACGCCTATCGTAATCTTTCTCTAACTTGTCTTCTTGAAAGACTTCCTCGGCGCAACGATAACGATGCAATAACGATAAAGATTGTAAAGGTGTTTATATTCGTTAAAGTAATGCGTAGAAAAAGTACTTAGAACAAAGCGTGAAGAACCTATCTTCCTCGGCCGCATCGTCCTCCTTATATAGTGTTCTTCCCGCCTTTAGTCATGTGACCTAAAGTGGTCACATATGCTAAACCAAATCATAACAAACTAAACAAATCATATGCACGAAACCCATGACCCCATAATGAGGTCATGTGCGAAACATAAATCATATACACAAGGATTACCTGCAAGGCACCCTCGCAAGGCATGCTCGTCAGGCGTACATCCCATGACTCATATTTGAGCCATGTGCGAAAGCATCACAAATCCCACACATAACAAATCATATGACCCGAATGAGTCATATGTGCGAAACAATAACATACCTGTGACTCATAACCATGTGTCACGTGAAAACCTTTTTCATGCTAAGCCACGTTCGTGACACAATGTCACAATAGGTAGTATGGCAATTTTTAAGAGCTTCCTCCACCATAGCATCATCCTGTGACTTGGTAGTTTTAGGATGTCTTCCTCTACCCTTATTCTCCTTGCCCTCTTGATGTCCCTTTGCAATTGTGTCTCTGACAGTAGTGTAGGGTATATTAAGGTAGTGGGAAATTTGCTGATATCTCATCTGAGGCTCATGTAACCCAAGAATCCTCCCCCTAGTGAACTCAGAGAGATGTGTGGAGGGAATAGGTTTTTTGGCATGACTGTGAAGAATAGAAGACATAGTTTATTGAAAAAAAGAATTGAGCAGAATGTTTTCTTCTTGGTTGACTTAGAACAATTCTTTTAGGTACTGTTGAGAGTGTGGGGTGATGAAGAGGGGTAGGTTGTCACCAATTGTTGAATCAGGATTAATTTTGTCAACGCACAATAAGACAGCTGTAGTAACTACTGTCAGGAGGGGTCATATTGTCTCCCTGTTAAGGTCCCCGGGGCGGGCGATTGAGTACTCGAGTACAGATGACCATCAGGAGATCGAAATCGTCTCGGAAATACGAGATGCAAGAAACATGACCAGCATTTTCTGTAATTTCTTTCACAGGATGGTAAACTGCCGTATCATAATGCGGCTATCCATTGTGTAAGCAGAAGGTCGGACAGGAAAGGGCGCTACTCTACCCCACTTCCCCAGCTCCAAACAACGTCTTTAAAAGCATCACTCCACCCACCTCCATCTTATCAACCACTCCAATCGCTCTTCATCAAATACCAGCGCACAGTAATGACATCCACGGCTGATCGCGAGACTTTACCATCTGAGTATGCTTGCCCAGGGTCTCTCGTCTCATCTCACACATTCAAGTCTACTAACCTCCAAGCTAGTGTCATCCCTGTCCACTATGACCTGGACTTGATTAAACTTGACCTTAGTGCCTTCACGTACGATGGCCAGGTCAGTATTTCACTCGAGTTCAAACAACAAGCTAGTTCTATTTTCCTCAACTGCAAGGAATTACTACTCCATGGAGGGCGTCTTATTGTCGATGGCTCAGACAGTGGTCAGCAACCCGTTGTACTAGTCTTGTGGGTTAGATGAAAGCTAATAGTAAGCAGATATCAACATCTCCAAGATCGAATGTGACAAGAAGGCCGAAGTAGCGAAGCTTTCTCTTGAGAGACCAACCCCGGGAAGCGGAATGGGCGTTCTAGAAATAAATTTCTCAGGGTCTATTAACCATGAGGTTCCATGTCTACCACCTCCACGAGAAGACGTTAAGCTAATACATATTTCGAAGATGGCCGGCTTCTATCGAAGTGCATACAAAAATGTCGAAGGAAAAGACGACTGGATGTTTTCCACTCAATTTGAGTCTTGTGATGCTCGGAGAGCTTTCCCTTGGTACTCCTAAGCCTTTCGGCCCACAGCAATCTAAGCTTGCTAATAGCATGCATGACACCTGCTAGCTTCGATGAACCAAACCTTAAAGCTACCTATGATTTCTCCATCACAGTTCCAGAAAACTTCACTGCTCTATCAAACCAGCCCGTGAAGGAATCAATATCTCTGGGCGATGGTCTCAAGAAAGTTTCCTTTGAGCGAGTCCCGAAAATGAGTACATATGTGTGTTTCCATGAAAATCCCTCTCCAAGAATAAATAACTAATGAGATATAGCTACTTGCCTGGGCTTGTGGGGAGTTCGAATATGTGGAGGACTTCACCGACCACGAATACGAGGGAAGGGGAAAGCTTCCAGTGAGAGTTTACACCACCAAGGGTCTGAAAGAACAGGGCCATTTCGCCCTCCACAATGCGAAGAAGATTGTCGATTACTTTTCGGAGGTGAGTTGCATCCTTTTTTTTCCTCCTATCTTCTACCGTTTGGGGCTAATGTTCGGTTATAGATCTTCCATATCGATTATCCACTCCCCAAAGTCGATCTTTTGGCAGTCCACGAATTTGTAATTCTGAGTTACCGTTATTTCGATTTAGGCATACTACTAAACTAGAGACTGACCGGTGTAACTTTCGCTAGTCTCACGGCGCTATGGAGAATTGGGGTCTTATCACTTACCGAACCACCGCCGTCCTGTTTGACGAGAAAACATCTGACTCCCGTTATAAAAACCGAGTTGCGTACGTTGTTGCACACGGTAAGGTCATCTCCCGGCAGTTGAGGCATCCGTCAACTAAATCCAGCAGAACTCGCGCACCAGTGGTTCGGAAACCTAGTTACCATGGACTGGTGGTCAGAACTATGGCTGAACGAAGGGTAAGGCTCGACTTCAAAACACCAGACACTACATTCGCTTATACTATCCAGATTTGCCACCTGGGTTGGTTGGTACGCTATTGATCACTTCTATCCCGGTTGGCACCCACCCAACCCAGAGATTATAAATAGGATACTTTCATACTAACAAAATCCTGATAGAATGGGACGTTTGGGGCCAATTCGTTGTACGTCGGGTTTCCAGAGGCATGCATTATCACTCGCCAAATCCCCGCTAACAAAGAATGCTGCTTAGACTCAAGAATCCTTGCAAACAGCCTTCGCCCTTGACGGTCTTCGTGGATCCCATCCTATTGAGGTGCCCGTGAAGAATGCTCTCGATATTGACCAGATCTTTGACCATATCAGTTACCTCAAGGTACGCATAGCACGTCATCAAGATAGTAGAAAAGACTGATAAATATAGGGATCCGGCACTATCCGTATGCTCAGCAGCCACCTTGGCGTTGAGACCTTCTTATTGGGTGTTTCCAAATATCTAAAAAGGCACGCCTATGGAAATGCCACAACTGTAGATTTGTGGGCTGCCCTTAGTGAAGAGGCAAAGACAGACGTTGCTGCTTTTATGGTGCTTTCTGCCCCTGTCGAATTTACAAGACTGTCGACTAAACAATAGATACAACAGAGCAACTGGATTAAATCAATTGGTTTCCCTGTCCTCACAGTCACAGAAAAGCTTGGCCACATCATTGTCGAACAAAAGAGATTCCTAAGCACTGGGGATGTGAAGCCTGAGGAAGACCAGACAACTTGGTGGGTGCCGCTATTCTTGTCCGAGAAGTCCTTCACCACAGGATCAGAGAATACTACGGCTCTCATGTCCAAAGAAGCGACAATCAAAGGAATTGATACCAATTGTTACAAGTTCAACAACAACCAGAACGGGTTCTACAGGGTAAATTACCCAGCAGAGCGACTTGTGAAGTTAGGGGAGATGAGAAAGCAGCTCAGTGTAGCAGACAGAATTGGACTAATCGCTGATGCTGCTGCAATGGCACTTTCTGGTCTTGGTTCCACTACAGGCCTGCTATCATTTTTGGCCGCGCTCAAGGACGAGGAGAGTTACCTTGTCTGGGCAGAGCTTATTGAGCAGCTTGGGAGGTTGAGATCGGTTTTCTCTGAGAGCTCACAGGATATTAGGGACGGGTTGAAGAGATTCACCCTCGACCTCGTCACACCTGCAGTTGAAAAGATTGGTTGGGAATATGGAGAGGACGAGGATTTCTTGACTGGGAGACTCCGTGCTCTTCTCATCAGCACTGCTGGGGGCTCTGGGCATAAAGGGGTAATCGCGGAGGCCCAGCGCCGCTTCGAGCTTTTCACCTCGGGCAAAGACAAGTCTACTATTCACCCCAACCTTCGCCTCGCCGTCTTCCGCATTGCTATAGCCGAGGGCGGTCAAGAGGAATACGATGCCATTTTGAATGAATACCTCTCTACTTCTGCGATCGACGGCAAGGAGATCTGTCTCTCTGCCCTCGGCCGAGTCCGAAAGCCCGAGTTGATCCAACGATTCCTTGAATTGATGTTGTCTGATAAGGTCAAGACACAGGATAAGCATACTCCTGCCATTTCCCTATCGAACAATATTCACGCACGCCATGCCCTATGGGAATTCATAAGGAAAAACTGGGAAACAATCTACAAGCAACTTTCGGGTAACATGGTTGTTTTAGACCGATTCTTGAAGAACAGCCTGAACAAGTTCGTCAGTTTAGATGTGAAGGAGGACATCGAGAAGTTCTTTGTTGATAAGGATACCCACGGATTCGAAAAGGGATTGGCAATCATTAGTGACAGCATTAAGGGTAACGCAAACTGGGTCCAGAGAGACCAGGAGGATGTTAGAAAATGGGTCAAGGAGCTTGTCAAGACTTAAGGATGTTAGTTTTTTTTCCACTGGATTCTGTCATCTAGGAAAGAAAAAATAAACCTGTCTTCATCACGAATACTCACTCGCTGAGCCTTGCGATAGCGAGTTTTTCAGAGTCATTAGTTATGATACTAATAAGGTGATTAGCATATATTTCCGTGTATTCTAGGAGCGTGAACACGCGGTTATGCATAATGGATAATAGTATGTTGCTCTTGCAGTGGTGGCCAGGCGGCCAAGCGTATGGACGAAATCGGAAGGTGCACCGGCAGCACCAGCGGCCATGCGATGTCAATTCCAACGAGGTGGTACTGTACATGGGGCCCACCTCCATTCGCTTTCTAGTATTTTTCTGAGCGACCCACCACACATATGTATATTATTTGCAGCACCTGAGTACCCCGAGTTCCAGAGTAAGTTACACTGGGTTAATGCTTTAATGCTCTGTGAGCGCACCCGAATTTTCTGATACGAGTCTTCTATGGCTACTATAGTCCGTACATGCGTGTATAGATTGAGCGGAATCTTTAGAACCGCTGATGCACGAAAAGCAATTCGGACGAAGAGACAACCCCGCAAGACGCTCCGGGGAGCTCAAAAGAACCAGAAAAAGATGGGCTGAAGACTTGCGGCGCAGAATGTGCTGATAATGAACGCGGCGGCAGAGTCAACATGGAATGGACAGTCTTCGCCGATGCCATACATAGAATACCGGTACGCGCACAGATTCGGTACGACACTATCATCAACTGAAGAGTGTACAAAGGAAAGAAATTATTGTGGGATGTAGTGATACTCGTGGCGGATATCGACAGTAGATGAAACTTTAATTCAAGTACAGTACACTCTCTCTCCGAGATTTTGATAGATAAGAAAGAAAAGGGTAGAAATTTTTTTAAAATATTCATTGTATTCCTGCACACCCTTGGCAAGTCGATAGAATGAATATGCATACAGTAGGGCCACAGTGGCACATTCGACCAAGTATGCAAGGCAGCACAGCACGCCACACAGCCAATCATCTGACAGGAGAAGTGTCGAGCATCAGTTCTGGATCTCACTCAGCATCTAACCACAATCGCAATGCGCCCTTCTTTTCTTGGGCGTCGTAGAGACAGAGACAGAAAAAAACCGGAGGAGAAATGCTGTTGATTTCTCTCAGTTTCCGAGAACCCGAAGCAAGCGAACATCTAGCAACGGTGACTGCTCGTAGGCTATATTATCGGATTTGTCCTGTCTAACCTTCCTTTCTACAACCAACGAGTCAACGACCCACCTTTCGCTCGCTTCATCACTAACACAACCCTGACAAGTGAAATTCCTCCACTCAGCCAGTCCAACCTCTCTCCCCTTCCCCCCTCTCACCTACCACAACCACAATAAACCACCACCACCACCACTCACAACGAACTCTCTGAGATAACAACTCATTTCCTCCTGAGCAGAAGATACCTTACCTCTACCAACCCCATCAGCTAAACATCTTCTTCATCTTAATCATCTCAGCCTCATCCGTTGCCTCACTCTTTACACGTCGTCAGCTTCTAACTGCTACGCTGATACTCTTCCTTCCCCTCCATCGCTCCTTCTCAACGAGCTTAAGATAACTTAAAACTCTCGTCATCATGAATCCCGAGTGGTATGTGCCCACCCCTCCTCACCTTTCCCTCCCGCTCTATTCCTCAGTTGCAGCCTTATTTTTTTATTTTTTTCGGGTCTTCGTCTCCTATCCTCATTATCCTGCACCGCCGGATCTGTCGGGTAGGCCCAAATGCTAACTCAAGCTTCTCTCCGCAGAGCCTCTTCCCCCTCTGTCCTCTATGTCTCTGAGCTTCATCTCCCGTGGCAGATGGGCCGTTACCAGCCCATTCTGAAATCGGAACCCACCCGCGGTGTTCTTTGTTTATCCTTAACACTGCTTGCTGACGGGAAGGATTTGTGATAGATACGATTATCTCTTTAAGCTCCTTCTCATCGGTGACTCAGGAGTCGGAAAGTCCTGTCTGTTGCTTAGGTTCGCCGATGATACTTACACCGAGAGCTACATCTCCACCATTGGTGTCGACTTCGTTAGTCTCCCAATGCATCTCTTGTGCCGCCAGCAATTTTGCTAGTATGATGGGCCTTCCCGGCTGACTATTTATTCCACTAGAAAATTCGTACCGTCGAACTTGAGGCCAAGACCGTGAAACTTCAAATTGTATACTTTCTTTTTCTTCACTGTTCTCTTGCCCCTGGCATGCAGTTTGCAGGGTCTTGTCGCTGACTGAGGCTCCTTGCAGTGGGATACCGCCGGACAGGAACGTTTCAGAACCATCACTTCCTCCTACTACAGAGGTTTACTCTCTTTTTACCCGAACAAGCGACTAGATCTGACTTAAGGTTTTCAGGAGCTCACGGAATCTGTGTTGTGTTTGATGTGACCGATATGGGTATGCTATATGACCTTGTCATGCTTGCGTCACCGGATATATTGCTGATGGCTGTTCCCTCCAGACTCGTTCAACAACGTTAAGCAGTGGCTGCAGGAGATCGATCGTTATGCCACTGAAGGTGTCAACAAACTCCTCGTTGGGAACAAGAGTGATATCGCAGATAAGAAAGTCGTCGAGTACACTGTGGCTAAGGTTGGTCACATTTTAAACTATCACATGATGTCAATGTTTAGATCTGATAAACCGTGTCTCGTGAGTAGGAATTTGCGGACAGTCTCGGAATCCCATTTTTGGAGACCTCGGCAAAGAATGCTACCAATGTCGAGCAGGCTTTCCTAACGATGGCTAGACAGATCAAGGTAAGCTAATGATGTGTGTGGTATGAAACATAGCCACAGACTAATCGCTTCTAAGGAACGCATGGGATCTACTACTGTCAATAACAAGCCCACCGTCTCGGTCCAGCAAGGAACAGGTGTCCAGCAGGGATCTGCCGGTGGATGTTGTTAAACAATTACTCTTCTTCGTTTTGCCCACCAGACTAATTACAACCTCAAAGATCAAGAAAAAAAAAAGAAAAAAAAACCTTTGCACTAGACATCCGACTGGTATTCCGTTTTCGTGGAATGTCTGGTCCCAGTTTCCCCTTTTTTCTCTGATAGCTTGGATGGAAGCATTGCTTTCTGCGTTATTTTTTTTTGAAAGGCGGCGGATGTTAAATGGGACCTGGGGCGTGGGTTTTTACTGTGGAGTATGGATGGAAATTAATGGTCTGGTGGAGATATTCTCAAGGTGTCTTGCGAGAAGGTAGGGGTGATGTGAGATGTGTGAGTAAGTGGAAGGCAGCTGGTGAATGGCGGCCGTATTACACGTGAAATGAAGGGAGGCCTGGGAGTCTAACGTCATTTTGTTTTTCTGTACCTCTTTCTTTCCTGTCTCGTTCTTAACGTTAACGCATGTGAACTTTTCTCCGGCTTCTATCACTCGTTTGCTGTGCAATCATTTTCTATATCTCCAGGTTCAATGGGAATTTCTAGAGAAGCCTTATCGTGTGATTTATCATGAAAGTTTCGCGCGAGATTGTGGTTTGCCGCCCTAGACCTACGGATCTCACGGATCCGGCCTTCATGCTTGCGGATGTGATGCGATAAGATTTTGAAAGCTTCAATTATGCACTCGTAGTATCACGAATACGAGCTCAGCACCATACCAAACAATAATCAGCTACCGGTAAGTTTGTTATAACAAAAACGCCAAGCCTTGAACCCGGAGTCGAGCAATTATGATACAATCCCGCCCCATCATCTATAGTCATTTTTAGACCACTACCCCTTGAACTTCCTCAATGTAACCTATCCATCGTCAGTTCCTGCCCCCAGAAAGAAAGAAAGAAAGCTAACCTGCGAAACCTTCTTAACATCCCTAGCTGTAATCCCAACCCTCTTCTTCCCAGCCCTCATCACAGTCCCGCTAGCATCGACGCGCGCATGGACGTTGGCTTCGTGGATGAGCTGCTGCATGAAGAGGACGTAGTCGAGGTATATCTAACCAACCAATCGAACCATCATTCATTAATCCGCTTAGTTAGTTTCCGCGCCAGTAGGTAGATGATTGATTGATGGAGGTATGGTGACTGACCATTACGTCGGCGTTTTTGGAGATGCGGAGGTTGCTATGAGCCTTCACTATGCGCTTGAGGTTTGAGCGAGGGTAGGGTATTGGCGGGGACATTTCGGGTTGGTTTGGTGGGGTTAGTTCGGTGGTATGTAGTTGTGATGATGGTGTGTTTTTGTTTGGGGAAGGAGAGCAGGGAGTCCTGGGTGAGGCTCCGGTTGCTACCAGGGTACGATGCCAGTATCATATGCATGCTGGATAAATCAGATAGTCTAAGGGGCATAGAGTATATACTCCGCCGGTGGGTGGTTCTTCGGGTGCTCCCAAACCCTTTGGCTTGGAGTGTGAGAATTAAGTTAGACTAAAGGAACCGAACATGCAAAAGAGCGGTACCGGTATTGCGGAGCTTAGGTGCGCTTACTCGTGACGCGCTAAAACAAACAATATGGTAAATAGTACTCATAGAGAAACGGCATTTCAGCGATATCTTGAGATCTCTTGCTTCCTTCCTTTCGCTCGAGTCTACAAAACAAGAAGGCACCAAGCAAAATTAAAACCTGCATTTCCGTATTCCCCACTGCCACCTCCTCCCTCAGCGGCCCCCGTACTAAGGGTTAAGATTGTCGTTGCTAGCCTTCTCCCAAGGTTTCAGCCTCTTCGCGCGAACCGGTTCACTCGGTGGTGCCGAGTTGAGCTCATTGGGGATCTGCTTGATTCCAGGTATTGGCTGGCCCGTTGTGATCAGTTCAACAATGTACGCGAATGAATTCGGGTACGGTGCATCGGGAGTTCCTCCGGATGTAGTGGCGGGGGTGTTAGGGTCCAGATTGCCAAGGGGGAATTGCTCGCTGTTGACGTCGCGCTCTGTCGTATCTAGGATGGGCTCTCCGTTGGTGCTGTCCAAAGGGGTGCTATGCTCTTTCTGCGCAAATTCTGGAGGGTTTTCTGGGGCGGTGGCAGTGGCAGTGGTAGTGGTAGTGGAGTTAGGTTTCCCCTGGGAAATGCGGGCCTTGTAGACGTTGTAGTCGACCTTGATGCCGGTCATTCTATAGATAGCATTTCGTCAGTCTTGTTCTTGATGAGTGAGGGTTACTTGGATTGAGTACTTAGAGTAGAAAAAACATTTTGCCCGCAAGATTAATTCTTCTCTTTGCTCTGCTGTAGGCGAAGGGACCGATGAGAGGACCGATTGCAGACCGGTCTATCGTAGAACATAATATTGTGAGTTTTTTTCCCTTCTTTCCTTCCTTTTATATGCAATGTAGGATTGGGGATTAGGTTGGATGTACTTGAAACTCCCGGTCCGAGTCCCAATCATAGGTCCCAATGGCATTTAAACACTCTAAGTCGGCGGACTGCAGGAAGGACTGGCTCGTCATTTTCAGGTTGGGTGGTGAGGCTAACGGAGTGAGAAGGTCATGGCTACTTCATTGTGGTGGGAGGAGAGAGAGGGAAGGGTTGAAGGAGTGGCGGCGTATTTTCGAGAAAGTGCAATTGTGTGAGTGACGGTCTTAGATAAACGCAATAAATTTAATCGTCCACAGTTATGGTGGGGCAGGAACATGAACAGGATAATCTACATGAGTTCGTTCTGAGTTATGTGACAGATGACACTGTCAGCCTGACTAAAGCAAGGTATTCCTTGCGGCGCTTCACTTGCTCAACTGATCTACTCTTTGCCTTCCCCCAGAACCTGCCACCCTCTCCTTCCTCTCAAGCATCTCTTCCCACTCTTCCTCTCTCAACCACCACCACCCTCTCTGCTTTACTCCCACACCTCCATCCTCTTCGACATCTTTCATTGCAACTTGTATGCTTCCAAAGCAATACTGCACACCCTCATCTCTGTCCCAATTATCTAACCGAGCTGTACTTAAAATAGGTGTCCACGTTCACTAAAATCGCCAATACATTCCCGGGTCGTTGACCCTACTCGCTTCACTCATGTCTGAATTTATCGGGTTGGTTTTCCATCGCTTTGTTTGGCAAATTATTACAGAAGACTTGACTAACAATCTACCTTTCTATACAGCTCCCGGATCTCCTTGATCTCCAGGAGCGATATCCGGTATACACTCTTCTGCTTGCTTGCGTCGGCCGTTTATTTCCTTCTTCCTCGAACTGACCAACCCCATCTCTCGCTAATTAGTTATGTTGGTCGTCTCCATGACATCAATTCCGAAAATCACACTGTTGCCCTGGAACAAGTCGTTTCTCATGGGACGGAAGGTAGACGCGGTGATCCTGCTAAAGAGATCGCTGGCTCAGACAATGTTTACGAGTATATCGTTTTTCGCGGTGGCGACGTCAAGGATCTAAGGATCGAGGAGACTGCACCTCAGCCACCCCAACCTCAGGTGCCAGATGATCCCGCCATTCTAGGGGTACGTTTGGAGAAAATTTTTTTTTTGTCCCCCCCCCACTGCAGGGTTTTGAGACCCGGCTTTCCTTTTCGAATGTTTGAGGGGTCTCGGATATTTTGTTTTTACTCAAATTCTATTGATGAATGGTCGTTCAATTGAGCTACGCGATCGTACTTTCATACTGCTTGCGGTAGCTAATTTGGTACTACTAGAGCTCAACTCGCCCACCTCCCCCGAGCTATGCCCAGGGAAATCAGCAGCCTCCCAATCAGTACCAACAGCAAATGCCGCCGTACTATTACCCTCCCCAGGCTCAGGGTCGTTACGGCTCCAGTCCGTACCAACAGGGAGCTATGTATGGTGCCTACCCACCTCCTCAAGGTCCCCAGCAGCCAGGGCTAGGGCAACCTCCTGCCGGCATACCCCAGGCTCAGCAACAGCCTACCCAACATCAGCAAAATCAGGCCCCCCAGCAGCAAGGCCAAACCCAAGCTCCGCAGCAAGCTCCCTTGGCCCAGCAGCAGACCCCAACCCATGGTCCCCAGAATAGAGCGCCACTACAAGCCCCAATTGGGCCGGCTGCTAACCGCCAGCAGCACCCCCAGCAGCCATTGAATCGTGGTCCTATGCATCAAGGCCCTAATGCGCAAAATTCTATAGCTCAATCCCAGCCACCCGCGCATGTCAAGATAAATGAGAGGCAAGTACCTCTTACCTCCGTGCAGCAAACTGCGAACGATAACTCCAAACCCCCGACTCCTCACGAGGATAACGAAACTAAACTAGCACCCCCGGCTCCTGTGGCTCAAAACACTGGCAGAGCACCAACTGGACCTAAGGCGCATGCAGGAATTGTACCGGCACTTCCGTTACCTTCCCACAGCCGGCCTCCACGCTCCCCAGCGCTCTCTTCGCCCCAACCGGTAACCCGCAATGCTCAATCTACTGAGGCTTCTGCATCCACCTCTGCACACAACGACACCAATGCTGCTGTCCAGGATCTAGCTAACAAGGTTAATCAGTTGGCAATGAAGACAGCCGTTCCTGCTGGTAATAGCAACGTGGCAGGGCCTGCGCCTACTTTAAACGATACCAATGATGGTCCTAGCGGAGAACCGCGCCCTGCCCGCGGGCCAGGTCGTGGTGGATTTGCCACTGGCAATAGAAGAGGTTTCCGCGGCGGCTTCCAAAACCACCAACCCCGTAAGGTTGAGGTTCCTACTACAGATTACGATTTCGCGAGCGCCAATGCGAAGTTTAATAAGCAAGACTTGGTTAAAGAGGTTATCGCAGGTGGGGAAGACGAGAGAGTTACTCATCCGGAGACTCCGGCCAATGGCACTAATGGATATGTAGATGGCAATAACAAGGACGAAATTGTCATTCCCCCTGCAAAATTCTACAACCGTCGATCCAGCTTCTTCGATAACATATCGTGCGAAAACAAAGAGCGCGCCGAAGCCAAGGAAGGAGAGAAACCCAGAGGCGGGGCGGTCTGGAGGGGGGAGGAGCAAAAGAAGAATCTGGAGACCTTTGGCCAGGGAAGTGTAGATGGCGGATTCAACCACTACGGACGTGGTGGATGGAGAGGAAGGGGCAGAGGAAGGGGCTATAGCCGTGGGAGAGGTGGTGGTGGTTACGGTGGAGCCTACAATAGGGGTGGATATAGGGGGCAATCGCAAGGTCAGCAGCGGCAACAAGACGGAGGAGCAGCGGCTGGTGATGGAGATGATAATTAAGATGTGCAAAAAGAGATAGTCTCATTGGATGACAGCATTTTTTAGTGGAAGGATCCTGACAAGCGAGGGCGTTAAAGGGGGAGGCGAAGATATCATGGATAGCTGCTGGACTTGATGGATGATGGTGATGGAAGTATCATACAAGGGTTTCTTTTCATGCCACTTTTTTTGTTCTCTTTCTACCAATTACTCAATTCCTTTATTGTATGGTCGGTGTGTGCGCTTTGTCAATGTCATTCGGGAATCTGGTAGGGGGCACAGCTGTATTCTCTTTTTCTATTTCTTTCCTTTTCTTCTTTCTACCTACCATCATCCTCCTCTCCACCCTTTAACCTTGGAGTCCCATTTGGCTTCTTATATTCTGGGGGAAAAAAAACTTTGATCGAATCCCTTCTTACGTGTCTTTTTAACCAGCGGTTGCTTATTTGTTTGCTCCCGTCCCCCCCCTCTTTTTTCTTCCCCGGATCGCTCTAGTGATAGTAATATGATCTTTTCCCCCGGGGAAGGAAAACAAAGTTTGAACTGGTTGTGATGATGTTTTTCCCCTCTTCGTTTTTTCTTACTCTTTACCTCGGCGGTGGTCGCGAGTGGGTTTTCTAAACGAGAACCGAACCCTATCATACATCAGCATCAGGGGCCCGTTTACTCCCCGCGGTTTATGATACCAGGCCTCTACCGCAACAGCGAAAGAGAAGGCACAGTGCTTCAAAACTCATTTGCATATTCCTTCCCCCCCTCCCCTGTGCCCACTTTTCCATCTACTCATTTCCATTCGAACTTGGACTACAGGGAGGAAGATTTCTTTCTTTCTACTGTAAGTTCACGACGGCGCAACGGATATGATACTACAAGTACTAAATGTATGGCTAGTTGGGTGCGGATAATATTCCTTCTCATTTTCTTTCCCTTTTTATCCTTATTCTACTTTTTACTTGAGATGTTTGATTGCTGTAGGAGGCTGATGGTGTAGGATGGTTTCCATGACTATTACGTTCTGTTTACGGTATGGTCCAACCAAACAAATGCCGGCCGGGGACTACG